GTGCTTCCTGTAGCACTTGTGAGTCTCTCAGTCTGGGCTCTGCTTTCAGACCGGCTCGTCTCCCCCGAGGCCGTCTCTCTGTGCCGGCGTTTCCGTGACGATAGAGAGCGTGTCAGATGCTGACAGTGACTCTTATGGACGCTTATTGCGTGGGTCAGCTGAGGATGGCGGAAAGGCTGCGTCTCCTCCCGCAGGCCGCAGGAGAGGGAAAAAAAATACAATCAACACACTTCCCTTGAAAGGTGACAGGGAATTCTGCTAAGCTCATGCGTCGCCCAGCTGTTGTTGTGATTATAATAGGAGGAGAGGTTTAATAATAGTTATCGTCATATGAAGCCTGTTTAGCATTTTTCTTCAGGGAGTGATACTGATGTAATTATACAGGAGAAGCCTATAGCACTATAATTAATAGATTGGTTGGTCTATAAAAATGCCCATCACAAGTTCCCAGAGCTCAACATGAGATCTTCAGATCGCTTGTTCTGTCTGAACAAACGCTTCAAAACCTCCGTTGCAATTAACATTTATTTTTATTATCCATATATCTGCACAATATCAGAAAACGGTTTGAGCACGGTGAAGTCACACTCATTTTTATCCGACCAGCAGTCTGAAACCACAGAGATAATCGGTTCACTATCGCATAAGACGAAGACACGCAGTAACCAGGGAATGTCTGCTTTCTTTCCTTCTAGAACGACTTCAACAATTGATGGAATATAACAATAGGTGCTGAATAATCGACTTATCGTCTCAGCTGTACGTTCACGTCCGCCGTTGTTTACTGAGAACTGTCGGTGATCGTTGCAGGAACGCATCGGCCACTGCGAGGGTGTGTTTGACGTGTGTGCGTCTGCACGCGGCCGGGACGTGTACGGCGGGCTGGTGGAGGTGCTCCAGTTACATAATCTCCATCTCCCTCCCACACAGTGACGGGGAAGAAGGGGGCAGCTGCCGACTCCCATCTCGTCATTTTCAGCCTGCTGAGGCATCTCCTCATCCTCCTCATCTTCTTCCTCTCTCCGAACACTGCATTTGTTTGCTTTGCCACACTGTGCGCTTCCACATCCAGCTGGCGGTGCACCCAGACGTCAATCTGCTATCGCTGTACGTTGTCTCGAATCGACAGTTTGCTTCACACTAGCAGGCGCACGACTCCCACCTTTGAACACTCGCTCTGCTGTTTTGTCCTGAAATATTAAATGTGGCGAGATAAAGGGATCTGTGGCAGCATTTACGTCTCGATCGCTCGTGGACGCCTGCCTACTGGCATTGCTCTGGCTTGTTGCTGGTATACTGGTGGGGTGTCACGCATACTGATGACACCGAAACCCTCACAGATGCTGTTTTTTCGCAAAACAACTTGTCCCCTCCGCCCCACACGCAGATCTTACATATAGGGAGAGCCGAGCCGTCGGGGCCATGTGAAAGACGTGAACGCCGTGCATATGGACTCTGTGAAAAGCTGCCGTTGATGCCCGCCATTTGGCATGTGGAGGCCCAGCAGGGCAGGCTGTCGAGCCAAATATGGATGTGCTGCAGGCTGGCAGTGATGGAGGGGGGGGTGGGGGGCGTGTGGAGCCTGGTGGTTATTTGTCGGCCAACAGGCAGGGGGGTCCGGTGCAGCTGTGCCGTGTGGGTGGAGGTTGCCACTTTGCTGTAATGTAACATTGTTATTCATTAGACAGGCGGGGGTCTAGCTCCACACAGGAGTTTATTGGGTCCATTTTCCATTTAGAGGCGAGCTGGCGCTCCAGCTCATTAGCATGTGTCCACGGCCACGTCTTCACTGATAATTGTCTGTCAGATGCCTTAATGGAGTTGAGATGGGCTCTTCCCCCCCCCCCCCCCCCCCCACGGGGGGTGAATACATCAGGTGGGCGTCGGGACTGAAAAGCGTGCACGTTTTCCTGTGTGGTGACGTCACTGTGGCCCCTCCGGGCGCAGATAATCGCATTTCCCAGTCGACAACGCAGAAAGAGGAGCGGGCTGGAAGATGCTGGGAGGGGGTGGGGGGGTGTTGCATTAAAGATTTTGCGGTTGTCATGACAGCGACCATGGAGGAGGCCCACAAACTCCCGTTTAATTGACATAGCCTCCCGCCACGGCGTCACGTTGCTCGGATCAAAGATCACAAGTGCCCAAACCTCGCTCTGCATTTCGGATTTGATCGGCCATACCGGCCCCACATTTGCAGGACCGCGGTCAAACAGCGCCGCGTTAGGAGAGTTATCAGGGAGTTCAGTGGGTAGTTAAAGGAGGGAAAGATGGCTAAACAAGACGTGTCAGCTGTAGATGAAGATATAATATCACAGCCACATGTTCAGGTGTATTGACTCATCTTCTACTGAACTATGAAGGACGGTCAGATGCTTCACATGCTCTTTGCTTACAGCCCACTTTAAAAAAAAACAAAAAAAACAACTCAATGTGCTTTGCAGATTCTTGGTGAATTTTCATTTTGAATTAACATTTATTGGCTTGAACAACAAAGAATTACAGCATGACTCTGTCTGCAGAATGTAAAGCACAGTATTGTTCATTTCCTTCTGTTTTGTTTAAGACCACACAGTTGGTCTTAAGGGGGTCCTCTTTGTGTGTTTAGAACCCTCAAACTGTGTTTCCCCACAGATTTCGAGTTTCATGTTTTCATTAAAGTGCTCTGGTTTTCATCACCGGCAGCATGTGTGTGTACGTCCCATTGTTTTCCCTGCAGTTACTTGACAATTACACTGATTTTCAGACGGCATGATGACGGTCTCGAAGCCTCACAGTAAAACAAGCAGTGCAATGTCACCACCTCGGCAACCCCAACAGCCATAATGAGGGAAATATGAACGACCCTGTAATCATTCCCTGCTGTCTTAATAACTCGGCCGCTGTGCATGGAATATTTTTTGAGGCCAGTGCTGCCTTGTCCCTTTCCACTGATTTGGGTGTTTCCTGTTCTTTTCCGTGCTCCAGAGCTTCACTTCATTCAGCACGAGGGGTCTTCTCTGCGGCTTGTTATGTAAGAAATGCAACCCGGTCTTTAACAGCTTCCACTGTATGGTCTCCTACCATACGCAACCACTAATACGATTTTTGTTGGGCAGTAATCACTTGCGCCTCGGTTTGCCAGTGCGGTCTAATACGAGACACGTGTATCAGGGCAGCGCAAAAAATGAAGCATATGCTCGCAAAAAGAAATCTACCTCTAAATCTTGTAACCACTAAAAATAAGCATGTATTATCCAAAATTGGTTTTGCAATAACAGACGTTTGCTCGAGGAAGCTGTGAGGTCGAGCCGCGAGGGAAGCTACGGGATCCTCTGTGTCGCCGCCAGGAAAACACAACCTACCCGGTTCCTTTTTGTAGGAGGGCGTTCACATGGCCATTCATATGTTAATAGATCCAGACACACAAACGCATACCTCTCTGTCAAAGACACACACACACAAACGCTCTGCCCTCTCTCCTCATGAGCCTCGGTTGCTGTGTTTCTGCTGGCAGGGTGCCTTTGTTTTGCTCCACGGCAGCACAGGAGGGGTGGGGATGCGTTATGTAATCCGTGGCGTGTGCCTGGGATACAGAGATGGAGAAGGGTGTGACTCTAGTAACACACACACACACACACACACACACACACACACACACACACACACA